ATGATAGATAAATAACAGACATAGTGTTGTATCATACCTACAGACAATAATGGGTATGTCCCCATTCCCATAGATAAAGTAGTAAATACTGTATGTTGGACTGCATTTGGAGATTCATTGTGGAATTCACTTAACTCACTTGTAGCAGTTGACTACTACTTCTGTCCACCACTGGCAAATCTTATATGTGTTGTTCTTGTCCTAAGTATAATTGTTCATTTGATTATTCTATTCAGTAAACTTTCCTAGGTTATGACAAATAGATAGTTAACAGAGATAGATAGATAGGTAGGTAGATAGCTAACAGAGATAGATAGGTAGGTAGGTAACAGATATTGATAGATACATTGATAGTTAACAGACCTTGATAGTTAAATAGATAGCAGACCTAAATAGATATGATAGAAAGATGCTAACAGATATATAAAACATCAATATTATGCTGTATGATAGATAGATAACAGCCTGAGATAGAACATCTCAATAGATAACTATACAAGAGACCTAAATAGATAAGTAACAGACCTTGATAGATAGATAAAAGATTATGGTAGATAAATAGATAGCAGACCTAGATAGATATAATAGAAAGATGCTAACAGAGATATATAAAACATCAATATTATGCTGTATGACAGAAAAGAACTGAAATTTGAAAGAAATTAAATATGCGGAAATTAATACCAGTCTCTCACTCTCTGTTTTAATGTGTGAGTGGGGGAGGGGGGGAAGGAAAATCTTTTTCTAGTGCAAGTTCAATATTTCTTCTCAGCAAAATCTGCTTCATCATGTATCACTGAGTAACTAATTGTAATTGCTACTTCGACAGCATGCTTCAGTAATCCCACAGACGCACTGTCAATGGAAACATGGTCCACAGACAACGGTAACCTTTTAGCAATGTCAGGATTTATTTAAGCAACGTAACCTGTCAGTTTAGCTCAGAAAGAATTTGCAGCCTGATTTTTATCTGGCACACTGAAAGTGAACTTTGATAAATTAGACTAAATCATTTTGAAACAGAGCACAGATTTTATGTCTTTGCCAGAGACTGAACTGAAAACCTCTAGAATTCATGCTTCATTAGCCAATCAAAAGAGTCGCAGTTATTGAAATAAGTTTGGTGTGAATCTGATGCCAGATTCCATGAGACACGATTGCCAGCTTGAAAGCACAAGGTATGTCCAGAAAGTATCCATTCACTTTCAATATTTGCTGTGCAGTTTTGATGTAATTTGGCATTTAATCAGAATGGGTAACCATGGCCAACTGCAAAATAAGTAACAGAACTGTCCGACAAACAGAATTGACAAAGTTTACAATAACAAAAAAAAAAAAAAGAAACAGGGCAAAAAAATAATATAAAGCAAGCAAACAATATATGCAAGGCAAATTAACAGTAATAAGGTAAAAGTTCACAAATGCAAGAATTGGTATTGACAAACAAAAGCAAGTTTGGACAAGCAAGCATAGCGTTCTGACTTCAAGACAAATTAGGACTGAGTCAGATGAAACGGAGAAGCAGCCTATTGTATTTGCTAAGAAAAAATATCAGCATGCATTTATGTGCTTCTGCCCTATAAAATCAGGAGGGGAAAGTGTTGTGCGCTTCTCCCTATAAAATGTGAGGTGTGTGTTGGGGGGGTGCAGTCATTCCTATTGGGATTGAAACCAACAAAGAGAACAAATCCTGTTTTGTTTTTTTACATTATGGGAACTTTTGTTATTGATTGACAATTCAGCTAATAACTAAATATCAGATCTTCTATTGTGCATATTATTTTTGTAGTTTTGAAGCTCAAATAGCTATAAACATGTATGGTTTATCAGTATTTAATCTTCGTTTTACTTTTGTTGTCATCCAGAAATAGATTACTTTTATCAGGAAGAGTGTGGAGTGAATAGCTATGGTCAAATGCAAAATAAGTAACAGTGCTGTCCGACAAACAGAATTGACAAAGTTTACAATAACAAAAAAAAAAAATAAAACGGGCAAAAAATAATATAAAGCAAGCAAACAATATATTCAAGGCAAATTAACAGTAATTACATTACGCCTTTATCCACTGTGCCATGTGTCCTTGAGGACACATGGCACAGTGGATAAAGGCGTTGGTTAGATCCAGTGACAGACCCAAAGAAGATGAGTTCAATACCTGGTTAAGGCAGTGGAGAACTTTCAGAGGGAAAATTAGCAGGAGATAAACATGGCATGTGGAACATGGCATGTGGAACTAGAACAGTCTACCCCAGTGATCGAAATAAAGGGTTCAGTTCGAAATTCCAACCACCTGAAGAAAGCCGGAGCATACAACGGCCGAAATGTTGTGACAAATATAGCGACAAAGATGAGGACAATAGTCCGACTAATGTAAATACTGTACATAATACCTCATCTCAGAAATATAGACAGACTCCAAATTAATAGTAATATGGTAAAAAGTTCACAAACTAAGAATTGGCTTTAACCGAAAAGCAAGTTCAAACAAGTGATCATAGCATTCTGATTTCAAGACAAGACAGACCAAGACTGTGTCAGGTCAAACTGAGAACCGGCCTATTTTATTGGCTAAAAAAAAAATCCCAGCATCCATTTGTGTGCTTTTTTCTATAAAAAGGAAGAGGAAAGTGTTTTGCAGTCATTCCCAAAGATTGAAACCAACAAGAGACCTTACTGTACATAAAAGTACACACTTCTGTGGTGTTTTCCCTGTTGTTGTTGCCACAAATAAAGGCTTGTCATACTGTCGGCAAGGCCCCAAACTGTAACAATTGTCCTCATTCGCTGTTCAGTTCTTATAGATGTCCCATATATTTAAAGTATGCAAATTAGTGCAACCATTACTGTGTCAGTATACCAGTAGTGCTACTAATCAATTCCATTTTCTCCAAACAGCCAGCTCTTCTTGTGGGCACAAACCATCTGCTGGCAAGCACCACTCAGGCTCTGGAGAAGAAACAAGAAAAAAAGAATTCTCCCATACCATGTGTAGAGATCCAGAAAGTGCTTATCTCCTTTTGGTAGAGAAAAGTCACCTTGGTCACATGATGTCCCTTAATGATGTCACTCCATACATACAGTGATTAAAAGCAGCAATCATATTTCAGTTCATTTACAGCAACCAAACAGTAAGGTTGCTTTCTTTAGCTTGTCCCACCTCAATGCCCCAAGCAGATGCTAAATCTATCTCCCCAGGAACTTACAAGTCCATGAAACTCCAGCTCACAGTCCTCAATTTGGGAAAACCCAAGACTCATTGTTCCCTTTTGTGGAATATGTCCTCATGTGGGACATAGATGAATCTGGACCATTTGAATCTGGAGTCCTAAACATGGCTTATCCAGACACAGGAGTATCTCCATATTATATGTAAGACACTTCTTTTTGTTTCTCCTTATACTGTGCTTTGCTGTGTAGATATATGTGACATATTAGTCTATGCTTGGGACATGTGTATATATGTATACATAGTTTTGTGTATGTCTTAGTATTATAAAAGTCTTTACAAGAATTCACATATTTCATTCATTTATTTTCTACATTCTTATGACTCAGTCATGCCACCACAACCCTCTTTTGTGCCTTCAGAATGTTGACAATCATGCGTCTCCACAATTCCCTGTACTGTGTAGTTCTTAATAATTTTGTCACTTGTTATCTCTCCTAAACCTTATTCTGCGATCTATTTACTGAAGCCCACTAGGTAGGTTATGTATTGTTTTCCTCTGTTCCACTTGCCTTCAATCTGTCCTGTGAGTTTCAAATTCTCCAAGCCCTCTTACCTCATTATGAAACTTAGAAATTTCAGCAATCTCTTTCAATGGTTAAGTATAAGTGTCTTTTTGTTTACAATTTGTCATTGCTCACATATTCAGTCCATGATGTTTTCAGCTTCCTTCTATAGAAACACCTTTCTGTTGCTTCAAGTGTCTTCTTCATCATTGAGGAGAGTGTCCAGCATTCACTGCCATATAAGATTTCTCAAATATTCAGGCCAGTAGATGAAAATAAATATACTGTTTAATAAATAAATAGTGTCTACACAAATATGAGTATCCACTAAAAGTAACAATTAAGTAACAAAGATCTGTTGGATGCTTTGACCTTTCAGCTATGGAGTGGGTTGATGACCAAAAACATTTGAGTAGATCAAAGCATGTCAGATATAATGATGGTTTTCCCTAGGGGAATGCAAATTTGAATCCTGCTGGGGAGTGCATATTTTTGTAATAGTATTTCTCAAATATTCGGGCTGGTAGATGTAAATAAATATACTGTTTGATAAATAAATGGAGCATCTACTCAAGTACTAAAAATAACATTTAATTAATAAAATAGATTGTATATATGCATTCCAAATGCGATCTTGGAAGAATCTAAGTCTCAGCAGACATTCAAAGCAAGCAGTATCAAAAGATGCCTTCTAAAAGTTAAACAAAATAATGAGAAACAGAAAACTTTTGTTAGAAACAAAGACATGAGAGTTGATTTTATATGTAACATCAATCCTCCAATATAGAAGTGAATGTTGACCCTTACAGCTTTTATATTTACACTTTCTCTAAATCTTTGTCATTGCTCACATGTTTAGTCTATGGTATTGTCAGCTTCCTTCTGTAGAAATACCTTTCTGTTGCTTTAAGTCTCTTCATCTTTGAAGAAAGTGTCCAGCATTTGCTGCCATATAAAAAGACCAATATTACATAACAATTCAGTATTCTTTTCTTTCTAAGAATTTTTACAGTTTGTTAATACTTTGCTTAGCTTTTTGAACGTATCTTTGACTGTCCCAAAGTGCATTCAAATTTCAGTGTTGCAC